GGTTGGGGCGCGGCGCTGCTGGCGCCGATGGATGGGCACGACCGACCCGGCCAGGCCATGATGTTGCTGCTGTGCCTGGGCATGACAGCGGCGCTGGCCCGGGGCTGCCTGCACTGCGACCCCAATTTCTCGAAGAAGTTCTCCTTCTACCGCCACCACGTGAACCTCAAGTCCTGGTGGGTTGGTGACATCCCCGTGTCGGGAGTGCTGCTTACCGAGTGGAGCCAGAACACGATGAAGGAACTACACTTGGCCATTCCCGCCGAGATCAGTGAGCGGCGGAGCCCATCCCAGGGTCAGGAGAAGAGCAACAGGGACCCCGGGCAGGGCAGCTCATCTGCTTCCTCTCCCTCCCGCCCTCAGCCCGGGAGAAGCTGGATCAAGTGGCAGGAGCCGTGTACCAGAGGATGGACCAGCTGTACCAGGGGAAGATGTACTTCCCAGGTAAAGAAGGGAAACTGAGGCAGGGCCGGTGCGGATCACCAGACACCTGAGCTTGACCACTCTGCTGTGACTCCCACATCAGGGTATTTTCCCAATGAGCTGCGGGCCATCTTTCGGGAGCAAGTGCGCCTCATCCAGAACGCCATCATAGAGAGTGAGCAGTGGGCTCCACAGAGGGGACAATGCCCCTAGTCACAGGCACTAAAGGGCTGGGGGTGCTGGAAACAGGATTCAGGAGGGAGTAGCTCTGCAGGAGGCCCTTTTGCAGGAGTGGTCACCAGCGCACCCATCACCCTTCACATCTATCATATTAGTCTCCTGGTAGCACCTGGAGCAGTAACCATCCATCCCGTAGGTTAGCTCCATCTTGCACTGAGGTCCTCCTAGAGGACCCATTCCCACTTCCATGAAATATGTGGCACATACCTGTAATCGCAGCATTTGGAATGAGGGAATGAGGCGAGAGGATTGCCACAAGTTCCAAGTCAGCCTGGGCTACAGAAACAGAAGTGGGGCTGAGGGACAGGTCTTAAGCTCTGGGCTTTGTCAGAAGGCACTGTCCTATTGTCGTCCCCCCTCCCCCCTCAGGCCGCATCGACTGTCAGCGTCACTGTGGTAAGTGAACCATGGTCCAGACTGAGGGCCGCAGTGGCAGGTGCCCAGGCTGGGGGGCCAAGGGAGCCTGTGGCTGCCTCTCCTGTATTTCAGGCATCTTCCAGTATGAGACCATCTCCTGCGTCAACTGCACAGACTCACGTGTTGTCTGCTTTGGTTACTACTGCAAGTATGCCTTAGCCACCTATCCCACTGCCCCTGGGGTCCTGGGCTTTGGGAATACCCCACCAGCAAGCCTTGTGTTCCCCCAGGTCATCAACACAGTGGCAGTCAGCTGTACAGGGCCTTCTGAGTTACATGTGAGCTGGGGTTTATTGGGCACCAGAACTCAGAGAGGGGGACACAAAGGGAGGCCACCTGGTCCCCTGACTCCAAACAAATTGTCATTGTAGAAATACCTGGCACAAGTAAGTTCCTGTTCAAATCCATCTCCAGTTTTATCCAAGACAGTGTGTGTGTATGTACGTTATGGTAAGATTTTGAAGCTTACAGAGACCCAGGAGGACTTTGCCCCCTCCCCCTTGAGGGTCTCTAAGCTCATCTGGAGGAAGGGGGCAGACCATCCTGGCTGAAGGGTCTTCATGAAGTCTAGGGTTCCCAAGTTGATGGCGACCCGGAGGGTCTAATCGCTGCCCTGTTCTGTTTCAGTCAGGATACAGGCACGAGGTAAGACAGGCCTTCCACAGGGGAGGGATGAGTGCAGGGATGGGGGCGAAGTCTTTGGGTCAGTGAGAGTGGGAGGGCATTCTGGGCAGGGCTGTGTGCCTGTGGGCACACTGGACGAATATAATCACACCATCACACCGCCCTGTGTGACCACTGCATGAACTGTGCTGTCCTTCTCTATGGCCTCGCCTTGGATGTGCAGAACCACCCCAGCCTTGTGAGTGACCCAGGGAATAAGGCAATAAAGAAGCAGGTGGCCTGGGGTGGGGGGAGAATCCAACGTCAAGCGACCTCTTTGCCACAGATCCTCCCATATCCTATTAAGGCCCATCATTGTGGGTATTGGGGAGGGTGGATAACTCCCTGACACTCTTTAGGACTTAAGAACAGGCAGAAAGCAAAACAAAACAAAAAGACAGGGACTGGATTTAGTAGTGCATACCTATAATCCCAGCCTTCTAGGAAGCCTCTGAGACAAGATATCTCAAGTAGAGGGTCAGCTTGAACTATATTAATGGGTCATGAAAAGCAGCCTGGGAAGGGAGGCAGGAGGGAATGAGCAAATGGGCTCAGGGCACTTCTTCCTCCTCCTCTGAAGCCTTTCACCAAGTATAAGGTGTCTGGAACTGCAGCACTTGGTGAACCTGACTTTGGAAAACGCCTCTGAGTGTTTGACCCAGCATTGATGGCGCTGCTCAGCCCCAGTATTAGCAGGGGCCAGGACTCAGCTACACTGTTGTCTGTTTCTCCAGGAGAGGCTAGTTGCTGCTACCTGCCTCTGGTCACCCCATGGAGCCCAGGCTGGGCCGGGGCTGGGGAAGGCAGCGAGATGGGCTTGTGCATAGATGGCGGGACCCTTGGGCATGGCCCCCAGAGATATTTTGATTAAAGTGCCCTGACATTTCTCATGATGAGCAATTCTTTTCTGCCAGATCTGGCTGCGTATTTGACGTAGCTGGAGGCATGGGCTTCTCCTGAACATGTGTGGGTGTGGAGTCCTAATCTCCTACTCACACGGAGGGAGGGACCCAACAGCCTGAATGGCACCTGCAGCATCTTCCTCAGGGTCCAGGGACTCTGACTTTATCCCTGTCCTTTTGAGTTCTTATGAGATTTGCAGAGGGGCTGTTCTGTTCTTGTTGATGCGAGATCTCATGTATTCCAGTATGCTCTGGAGTGTGCCACATAGCAGAAGCCCTTACATTCTCCCTGCCTCCATTTCCTTATTGCTGCAATGACAGGTGTGCAACCTGGCTTGTGTTCATGGAGCCCAGTCCTGCCCCTCCCCGCTTTGAGATTAAAGTCTGTCTGTAGCCCAGACTCACCTCAGCCTCAGGATGGAATGCACAGTGGGGTGAAAGCGGGGCCAGATTACTATTTGGGATTTCATCATGGAAGACCCAGGTCAGAAGAGAGCACCTGGCAGCCAGTGACCAGAGCCCAGCTGGCTGTCTGGGCTGAGAAATGACTGAGTAGGGTTGGCTGTCTGCGTTGGGAGGTGACTGTTGCAGGAAACTCAGGGACTTATGCCTCTACCCGGTTTCCTTGTTATCTTTAGAGTCTCCTAGCTCCAGTGATGGGTGTACATCTCTATGTACATCCCTACAGTTTTTGCTCCTATGAGCAGCTGCAGGTTAGCATTTTACAAATACCAAGTGGTAGCATCTAAAGTCCCTCTTTCCTTCTAAGGGACCAGGACACAGAGCAGGGACACTGGATGTTCTGTTGGGAGCTCAAGCCGCACTCTTGCCAGTCAGCAACCACAAGCAGTGGTCACTCTGTACACTTAGTGACTGCTGACTGCATCGCTTCTGGGTCCTGGGCAGGGTTGGCAGGATGCTTGGAGCAGTAGAGTGCTGTGCCTCAGAGGCCTGGGCTTGGAATTTAAGCTGCTGGTGACAAAGCTGTGACTTGTCTGCCTGTCCCCACAAAAGGTGGCAGTGAGCAGCTGAGAGGGAGCAAGTGTTTTTTTAAACCCAAGATCCTGTTTCCACCTCACAACCCCATGCATGAGTTTAGTAAGAAAGGGGCCTTTGGGGACTGGCAATGTGGCTCAGCAGTCAAGAGTCCTGGTTGACTTGCAGAGTCCCTGGCATTTCAGTGTGGGATGGCACATGACCTACTTGAAGCTGCAGTGCCAGGAAACAAGATGTGCACATGCTACATAGACGCCATAATTTTTGTGTTTTTGTTTTGGAAACAGGGTTTTTCTGTGTAGCCCTGGCTGTCTTGGAACTCACTCTGTAGACCAGGCTGACCTTGAATTCACAGAGAGTGCTGAGATTAAAAGTCTGTGCCACCACTGCCTGGTTACATAATTTTAAATTTTTTAAATATTTATTACATACAATATTCTGTCTGTGTGTATGCCTGCAGGACAGAAGAGGGCACCAGACCCCATTACAGATGGTTGTGAGCCACCATGTGGTTGCTGGGAATTGAACTCAGGACCTTTGGAAGAGCAGGCAATGTTCTTAACCTCTGAGCCATCTCTCCAGCCCCTAAATTCTTTTTTTTAAAAAAGAAGAAATGGCAAGATGGTTCAGTGCGCAGTAGCATTTGCTGCACACACCTGAGGGCCAGAGTCTGATCCCAGTGCTGTTTGAGTGGAGAGTGATGGGGCAGACAACACTGTCTTCTCTGCACGCATACTCACACATCAGTACTTATAGCACATATACAAAACTGTGGGTGACAGCTCCCACGGGTGGAGGTTGAGGGAACTCATCTGAGCCCCAGGAGCCTGAATGGCACACTGGGGAGTGCTCTCAGGTACTGTGAGGACAAAACACACAAACGTGCTTTGCGACTCTTTATTGGGTCATTGTGACACCGATCATCAGCAGCGTGATATATCTCTCTTCACACGGGAATGTCGGCAGCAAATCAATCATGGAACATCATAGAGCTGGAGGGTCATGTGGGGTCGGTAACAGAGTACTCTACATGCTAAAGTGACAGTAGTCCTCAAAGGAACAGCCAGAATGTCTGTAGACCACCATCACCATTGAGGAAGGCTCAGCTTGTGCCCAGCTACCCAGCTATAGGGAGTATCCAGGCTGGGGTTCCTCACCTTGCCCGGAATGGCTGGGTAAGCACCGAATGCTCCCAGGATGCACACTCTCTCCACTGCAAGGCACTCGGCCCTCCACAGCTGTGGCACAGCGCAGAGACAAACCGTGATGTGTAGTGACAAACTGAGGGGCATGGACTGCACTCATTCACTGACCACCTCCTCAACAGAATCCCACCAGAATTCTGTTGAACAGAAGAAAATCAAAGGGCTGTCCCTGCTGTCAGCAGCTGAGCTGACCCATAAGCACACTTCCTCCATCTGGCCACACATACACTGGCAAGAAATGTAATAGCTGGCCTGCTCACCTCTCCACAGACACCACAAGTCAGGATATTTGGGGACAGCAGCAGCTGGAAGGGTTCCTCCAGAGGCAGCATGGGGGCAGAAGAGTGCGGACACATCAGTCCCACTGTTTGCTGGAAACCCGGAGGCCCACCAGCCTGAAGTCCCCACAGCCATCTTCAAGAACGGAGAATGGAGCTGGGAGCCCCTTGCTGGCTAGGGTTGGAATGGTCTTTCTTGCCAAAGGAGTGCGGGTCAGAATACAAAAGGGATAATAAAATAAGTTGATGCAACATAGGACCTCACAGTCACACAGTGGAGGCCGGTGGCATTAAATTAATGCTGGGTGTGGGGACAGTACACATGACAAAGGAGAGGAGAGGAGAGGCAAGACCAATCACATCTGTCTGTGGTCTGTTGGGCATCCTGGATTCTGTCATTCAGCACTGGGCCAGCGTGGTCTTCATCTCCTCCAGCAGGCTGCTGAGCAGCGTGGCGTCACTGCATTTCCCATCTACTGACACGGAGCTCTCACCCTAGGGGACGGCATATGCATATACTGCCCGTGCCCGTGCCGAGGTCCAGGGCTGAAAATGCCAACCCTTCCTCCCCTCATCCGGGACCTACGCCTCACTTTAGTGTTTTTTTTTTTTTTTTTTTTTTTTTTTTCTCCCCCGAGACAGGGCTTTTCTGTAGCTTTGGAGCCTGTCCTGGAACCCTCATTCTGCCTCTGCCTCCTGAGTGCTGGGATTAGAGGTGTGCACCACCACCGTCCAGCATTCACTTTAGTTTTTTGAAGTTATGTAGCCACAACTGGCCTAGAACTCAGGAACTCTGCTTCAGCCTCCTGAGTGCGTGGATAGCAGGTGGACAGTACACTGCTCACCAGTCAGGGGCCTAAAACTGTGCTGAGCCTTTCCTTCCTCTTGCCCTGTGCTCACCAGGTGGGGGCCTGGTCCAACAGTAGGTTTTAGCACAGCAGGGAGAGGGGATTGGTGTAACTGTGGGGGTGGACGTAGTGGAGGGGGCCTGGGCTAACTGGTCTAAGCAGCCCTGGTCAGTGAGGCTCAGCCTCTCCCTGAAGACTGCCCTGGTCTGCCACAGAGCAGCAGGTGCTACCATGACCTCACCTTCTTCACCAGCAGGCAGACATGGTGGCCCTGGATGGAGCGGCTGTACATGGAGGCACAGGAGTCTACTCGCTCCACAACTGCAACAGAAGGAGAGTCAGGCCCTCTCAAGGGCTGTAAATTTCATGCTGGACTGGCACTTGAGGGCTGCAGACCAAGGCCCTGCGTAGGAAGGGACTGACTGGAGTGTGGGGTTGGCTTCTGCAACACTGGTGGGATGAAACCCATATTACTGTGACATTGTTTACCGGAAAAATGGTGGTGGAAACAGATCTTTGCCAGGAGGTTCTGGAAAGACATACTAATGCCATCGACTTTGATAGAGTTCATGCTCAGGTCTCCTGATTCCAGCAACTTGGCAAAGGCATCGCTGTGGGAGGACAGAATGGAGGGTGATGGCAGGGCCTGGGTATTAGACCTGTCACCCCAGCGCTGGGAATACCGAGGCAGGAGGACTGCTTCAAGTTTCAAGACAGCCTGGGCTATGTGACACCATCAGAAGCTGGCACACAGGGCAGTCGTCTGGGGACAGAGAGGCCTCTGCAATGCTATGGGGCCCAGGAGAAACCAGCACCCAGGACAGCGGCAGGATGTGTCAGGAGTCAAAGGTGACTGTAGCACAGTCTCATGTTACCTCCACCTCACACACCACATCACCGAGCTGCTACCCCTGCCCCTGCGCCCTCCCCACCCTGGGAGGTGTTTCTGGTGGGGTGGAGGCACACACACCTGTAGCAGGGCGTGGTGATCAGGTAGGAGCTACAACTGAAGTGCAGTCGGAAGTCTAGCTTCTCATGGGTGGCCCCTTCGTCATCCTGTGAGAAGAGAAGCTGCAGCTGTGGGGTGACTTTCCAGACATGCACTTCCTTTCCTGGGATGCCTGACATCCACTGGGGCAGGGCAAAGGAGCCGGAGCCTAGAGTAGAGTGGGCTCCTCAGCACTGACCATGGTTCCTGGGGACCCAGTGAATACCTTGGCAATGAAGGACAGCGTGCCTTTGAGCTTCTGGGCCATGACGATGCTCTGAATGGTGAACACAAACTGGGCCTCATTGGAGACGCCTGATGGGAGACAAGGCACTCAGTGGGGCCCAAGGTCTGAGTCAGCACTGGCTCTAGAGCGTCATAGCTGGCAAGGATTCTGCAGAGTCACAGAAGCAATGGGCTCCTGCTGCTGGCCCCAGATCCCAGCCTTGTCCCAGGGAAAGCCCAGCAAGTGGCTTGGGGCCTGTGGCTTTGACTGTCGCCAGGAGCTCTAGTTAAATTCCTTGTGGAGGAGCCCAGGTAACAAGAGCATAAAGAGCAGAGCTGGCTCTGTGAACCCCAGGGTCAATGGGTGGGCTCACCAGGGGGCAGCTGGAAAGGAACGGGCACACCATCATGCACTGAGGAGCCCTCCGGCCGGGCCATCTTGGTGTTG